TTTAATTTTTTAACTTTTTAAAAAAAATTTATTTATTATTTTTATTTTATGTGTATGAGTGTATTGCCTGCCTATAGGTAAGTGAGTCCATGTCATGCAATGCCCTCGGAGGTCAGAAGAAGCTGTTGGATCCCCTGGGACTGGAGTTATGGACAGTTGTTAGTTGCCATATGGGTGCTGGGATTTGAACCTGGGTCTTCTGCAAGAACAACCAGTGTTCTTAACCACTGAGCCATCTCTCCAGCCCCTTATTTTTCATTTTAACAGGTGGTCTCAGTTGCTCGGGCTGGCTGTGAACTTATTCTGTAGTTCAAGCAACCCTGGAACTGTGTTCCTCTTGTCTCGGCCTCCTGGAGTTGCTGGGATAACAAGCCTGTACCACTGGACTGCTCTGACGTGGGTCTTCTGTCTTTTAGGAGATTCATAGCTGGTCCCTGATCTTCCTGTGCTCAGTGCTTCCTTCTGTGTGAGGGCTGTTAGGGGCTCAGGCAGTGCCTAGCTCATCCCTCCTTGCCCCTGACTGTGGGTGCAATAGACACACACTGATTGTTCATCACTCCTGATACTCTTAGTACAAAATGTGATTTCCTGAGCACAGTTTTAATTTATTGTGTTTGTTTTATTAACATAGAAGTCATTGAGATTTTTTCCTGATAGTATTTTTTGTGGTTTTTAAAGATTTATTTTTATTTATGTGTATCTGTATGTCTGTGTTGGTCATGTGAGTGCAGTGCCTGTGGACTTCAGAAGATGGCATCAGATCCCCTGGAGCTGGAGTTACAAGCGGTTATGAGCCACTAGTGATGGGTGGGTGCTGGGAACTGAACTCAGATCCTCTGGAAGAACAGCAAGTGCTCTTAATTGCTGAGCCATCTCCAGCCCTGATTTTGGGGGGTTTTGAGACAGGCCTCAAACTTGGGGTGATCTTACTGCCTCTACTTCCTGAATGCCATGCTTATAGGCATGAGCCACCATGCCTTGATAGAGAGTATTTTTTAAATAAAACTAGGACATGTAGCTCAGAAATAAAGTGATTGACAGAATAAGTAAAGTTCTAGATTTAATCTTGGTAGCAGCAAATAACAGTAATAATAATAATGATGATAAAGGATGTTGAGGAGTTACTGTTTGCCAAGCATTTTCCAAGCCCCAGCATACTTGACTTTAAATCTTGCCCTCTACTACTCTCTGGCTGTTTGGCCTTGGGAAAGTTAATTTTTCTGTACTATGGTTTCTCCTGTGCACATAGGGTTACCGAAAGTATCTACTACTGCTGGGTGTGGTAGTGCACACCTTTGATCCCAGCACTCAGGAGACAGAGGAAGGCAGATATCTGTGAAATCAAGGCCAGCTTGGTCTACATAGTGAGTTCCAGGCCAGCTGGGGCTACAGGGAGACCTGTCTCAAAAAAATACAAAAATAGTAAATAATAAAAATTAGGGGAGAGAGAGAGAGAGAGAGAGAGAGAGAGAGAGAGAGAGAGAGAGGAGGCAAGATAGCTTAACAAATAAAAGCACTTTTTGTTCAAGCCTGACAATCTGAGTTTGATTATCAGAACCCATAAACAAAGCCCACTGTGGAGGCATGAATCTAATTCTGTCATTCCTACTGGAGATCAGAGCAGAGACAGGGGAATCACCTGAGAGATTACCAGTCAGCTAGCCTGGAGTACACAGTATGGCAGAAATGAGAGCCTCTGACCAAGATGGAAGGTAAGAACCAGCTCCCAAAAGTCATCCTCTGACCTCCACACATGTGCCATGGCATGTGTATGCCTGTACTGGCACTCATTTTACACACACACACACACACATACACACACACACATGCACACACATGCACGCACACGCACATACACAATTATTTTTTAATCTGTTTTGTTGGACCAGGATCTCCCTGTATCCCCGTCTAGCCTGGAACTCTCTATGTAGACCAGTTTGGCCTCAATATCACAGAGATCCACCCGCCTCTGCCTTCTGAGTGTTGGAATTAGAGGTGTGTACCACCACACATGACTTAAATTGTTTTTAAATTTTGTTTTCTTATTTTTAATTATGTGTATGTATGTGTCAGTGTGTGGGTATATGCATATTAATGCAGTGCCAGCAGAGGCCAGAAAAGGGTGTCAGATCCCCTGGAGCTGGACTTGCAGTTGTGAGCCGTCCAACATGGGTGTTGGGGACTGAACTTAGATCCTCTGCAAGAACATTACCATACTTGCTATTAATCACTGAGTCATCTCTCCAGCCCTTAAAAATTATTTTAGAAAGAAGTTCAGGGGGTGCTGGAGAGATAGATCAGTGGTGAAGAATACTAGCTGTTCTTCCAGAGGACCCACGTTCAATTCCCAGTACCCACATGGCAGATAACAACCATCTGTAACTCAGTTTCTAGAAGATCCAACACCTGATTCAGGCCTCACAGGTTTCACACACAGGTGCACTTATACACATGCAGGCAAAACACTTGTACATATCAACAAATTAAAAAAATAAAAATAGATCAAGATAGCAGAATGATGTGAGCCCTGGGCAGCCAACCAGGTTGACTCAGGGTTGCTGAGGGGCTGAGTGCGTGTGCTGGATCATGGGAGGAAATTTATTGACAGAGGAAAAATAATTTTCCTGACTTTAGGTGCTTTTTTCAAAATTTTTTTGAGACAGGGTCTTCCTGTAGCCCCAGCTGGCCTGGAATTCACTGTGTAGACCAGGCTGGCTTTGAACTCAAAGAGATCTGCCTGCCTCTGCTCCCGAGTGCTAGAATTAAGGGCGTTGTGCCACCGTGCCCAACTTGGTGCTTTTATATTCATCTCTAAAATTCTGAACTCAGGAGTTGGCAAGTAAGAAAGAAAATAACTGGGAAGCCAAGATGGTGGCCACACAGCCGTGGGTGCTGGGGCAACGGTGGTGGTGGCAACTCTTATGCAGGGCAGTGGGCTGTGAGATAAATGGCCCAAGGTTGTGGACAGTGATGAGGTTGTCAGGGAGTATTTTGTGCCCCTCAAACCCAGCTATTTGCTCCCCAGGGGCCCAGCCCCAGGCATAGTGAAGGTAAGGCACTTCAGGAAGTGACCTTCGTGTTTCAGTCAACATGACTTTAAACATGACTCCAGTAAGGAGATGTCTCATCACTTGTTCCCCTGACTGTGGAGGAAGATGTGAAAACAGACACCAAAAAGGCCAACCAGATCTTTGACCATGAAAAAGAAAATACTTAATCCATCTGGTTCCTGGAGCAAAAATGAAAAGTAGCTTTCTCCAATATTGATGTCTCTCTAGTGAGGAATTCAAGCCAGCAGGTATTGGTTGCCTTTATTTGCTGCATAGAAGCCAAAATGCTCATTCTTGAACACAAATACAATTGTGTGGACAGAGCGATGGAGACGGAAAAATAGTAGGAACCAGCATAATAGAAATTATGACCCCTCCTGTGAGCCTGGAGCTGTGGCCCCCAACTGGGAGCCATGGTTCCACATTTCTCTGGTGATGGGCTGATGGTGGAGCAGATTGGAAGATGGAGGATTTCCCGATGTTGGGCAGTCATTTCAGCCTTCTTTGAGTGGCTCCCTACAACCCCCTCCCCCAAGGTCTCAGGTTGTGCACAGCAGTGGCTTTGGCTCTGTGTTGGACTTATGGTGGTAATAGGGGAGGTTTCTGTCATTTTCAGATTCTAGTCTTGGGAGGACTGACTCTCAAGAATGGCCTTCCCACCTCATTTGATGGTCAACTATGGTCTTGACGCCACACATGGCTCTAGGGCACCTAAGCCCTGACATTGGACCTTTCCTCTTCCCAGGCACCTAAAGGTTTTCGATAATTTTTCTATTCCTCCTCTACTGCCCCAGTGTACCTTCACCTGTGCCCTACAGAAAATGTAAATCATCTACAGAAAATGCAATTGACCTTCTAGAAATAAAATCACAGTCTGGGAAGTTAAAGATTTAAAAAAAAATATTCAGGGGCTAGAGAGATTAGCGATTAAGAGTATGTACCCCCACATCAGGCAGCTAACAACTGCCTGTAACTCTAGCTTCAGGTGGCTCCAACAGCTCTGGCCTCCTTGTGTGTCCCACACAAAGACATACACACCTGCACATAAATAAAATGAAATCTTGCTGGGCACGGTGACACTTTTAATCACAGAACTTGGGAGGCAGAAGTAGGTAAATTTCTGTGAGATCCAGGCCAGCCTGGGCTGTTATATACAGAGATCCAGGCCAGCTGAGGCTATGGGGAGACCCTGTCTCAAAAACCAAAATAAAGGGGCTGGAAAGATGATTCAGTGATTAAGAACAGTGGCTTCTCTTGCAGAGGATCTGGATTCGGTTCCCAGCACCCACATAGAGGCTAACAACTGTCCATAATTCTAGTTCCAGGGAATCTGATGCTCTCTTTTGACGTCCGTGAAAAATAAAAGAAAAAATAAAAATTAAAAAAAAAGAAAATTAAAAATAAAAGAAAACATGCCTTTAATCCCAGCACTCAGGAGTCAGAGGCAGGTGAATCTCTGTGAGCTTCAGGCCACCCTGGACTACATAGCGAGTTCCAGGCCAGCTGGGGCCACAGGGAGACCCTGTCTCAAAAATAGCGCCCCCCAAAAGAAATTTTTAAGTAAAATAAAATATATATTTTTAAAGTTCAAAGTCATCTGCTAACAGATTGGATAGATCTTCTAGCCTCTATGTGGACGTGCACACATGTGCACATGCACTTGTACACAGAGACATACACACAAAACCTCCAAAAGTGTCCACTATTAAGCAAGGTTGGTAGCTGAGGTCTGTGTAGCTGCTTGCCAGAATAAATGGTCTTAGGACTGGGCAGTACTGGATGGGGAGAGTGGGCCCAGCAGACTCTGCCAACCCCTGCAAGTTGCCCTCCTATCTGGCAACCCGACAGGCTCTTGAGAGGAAAGTCACCTTTACCAGCCTCCCTCAGGAAGCCAAGCTGGTTCTAGGATGTTAGCAGGCACTTCCTGGGCGGGGTTTCTCTCCAGGACTGCAGGAGGGCTCGGTCTAGAAGCTTCTTTGGTTCTGAATGAAGGACTGGGCTTGAGTACTGAGCTACCTGCCTGCGGAGCCACAGATTCCCAGATTATTCCTGGGTTACCACAGTCAGAACAGGTGAGTACGGGTGAGGGATAGCTCTCCAATGCCCTGAAACGAGCCGGAAGCAGGCTCAGTCCAGAAATCTAGAAAGCCAACCAAGAGGTCTCTGACCCCACCCCAGGGCTTTCTTGGAGAAAGGCCATTGCTGGCAGGCAGGACCCTGACCCTATTGCCCTAGTCCCTGGGTTCTCCCTAGCGGGTTCCCTTAGCTCCCGGGTTCCCCTGCCCCTGGTTCTCCCAGCCCCTGGGTTCCTCTGATACTGAGTTCCGTCTACCATCCTGCCCTGCAGGCGGGCTCCTCAGCCCCATTCATCTCCCCTTTGCCAGCTGCCACCTCCAGGCCACCAGCTCCCCCAGTCCCCAGGAACCACCTGAGAATCAAATGTAGACAGAGAGCCGAAAACTGAGTTGAACTGGATTTTCCTGTTCCATTTCTGCGGCCTTCACGCCCAGCCTACAGTTGGAGAAGCTTTCCCTCCTTTTCCTCTTTGCCTCACGTATTTCAGCACCCACTCTGTTCTTGGAGATTTCAACGGTAGCTGACACTGTCATAAGCTACCTGAGAATCCTAAGCCAACTGCCCTGGGCACAATGAGTGGCAGGCCCAGTGCCAGCTGAGGGCAGCACCACAGGAATGGCAGAGATGGGGTGGGCCCAGGCTAGATCAGATCTGGGGGAGATGAGATGTGGACGGGCTGCTAGCTAGGAAAAGGAGGATCTAAATGGGAAGGGCAAGCCTGAGACCAGGGAGAAGGTTGAGCCATAGGGGATAGGATAGAAAGATCAAAGCCAGGCGTGGGAGTTCATGTCATCCCAGGACTCAGGAGGCTGAGGCAGAAGGATTGCTGTTAGTTAGCGGTGTGCCTGGATTATGTAGAAAATCCCTGATGAGGATGGAGAGGAAGGGAGGCAGGGAGGGAGGGAGGGAAGGAGAGGAGGAAGGAAGGAGGGAGGGAGAGGGGAGGAAGGAAGAGAGGAAAGAAAGAGGGGAGGGAAGGGGCAACGTTCATCCCTCCGCCCCCAGGGAGCTGGAGGATGGATGGCTCTTCCTTTGACATCAGAGCCTTTTTTCTGGTGCACTGCAGTCTCCCAAGGGAAGACTTAGATAAAGAGACAGACTTGACCTTGCCTTTTTTGCATACACTGTGGCCCACCTGAGGTGTTGATGTAGTTGTAGAAACTGAGGTGGGATAGCTGATGAACTTCCTGACACTGAGAACCAGGGGGAAATTTAGGCTTCCCCCACTGCCAGCAGCAACCTGGCCCCGATTTCCATTCTGGCTGGCGCCAGGCTGCTGCTCTTCATCTCCTGTCACCACAACATTCCCCCCCCACACCCCCACCCCCAGCCCTTCCATAGCCCTCGGCCTTCCCAAGCTCATCTGGGCTCCTTGCTTAGCTTATGATCCAGGGGAACTGTGAGCTTTGGCTTTCTTTGCTTTAAAAAATGGGTATGAATCACCCTAAGATAACACCAGGAAATTTCCACCCTAGGACAACATAAGCGTGCGTTTGTGCTAGCAGCAGCAGCTCTTAAGTTTTCCCCATCAGCACTGTGCTCTCACAGCCCACAAAATGTTGGCTGAAGTAGAGGTCAAGATCCTTGGTCAAGGCCGCACAGCCCTAGCACAACCCACAGCTTCTTCCCAGAGCTAGATCTGAGATCTCATGGCAGGCTGTGGGCCTCCTCTCCCTCTGCAGCCTCTGCAGTCAGTGAGAAGGAGCTACAAGGCAGCCACAGCATCCATCTTCTCCATGCCGGAGTAGTGAGGACCAACCAAGAGGCAGCTGAGAGGCGTTGGTACCTGCCTTTCTCTCCCAAGCCAAACAAGCTTTTCTTTCTATTTGTGGTAGGAAATACAAAGTCCTCAGATCAGAAGCCTAGAGGCAGGCTGGATTGTAAAGTAGGCTCTTCTAATATTTTTCCCCTATATAATCGGTGCCCACAAAATGAAAACCAAACAAAACAAGATGAGCCACCTGAGCAGGCCTGTCATCCCAAGACTGTTTAGGCTGAGACAGAAGGATTGAAAAATCAAGACCAGGCTAGGCTACAGAGTGAGTTCAGCCTAGGTGGCTTAGTGAAACCCAGTCTCACTTGAGTACATGCCTAGAATCCCTCAGTGAGGGGCTGGGGTGTGGCTCAGTGGTGGAGCCCCTGCCTAGCATCCTCCAGTGAGGACCTGGGGATGACTCACACTTGCTTAGCAATCTGGAGACCCTAAGTTCTGTCTCTAATACCAGAAAAGAAAGAGAGGAAGGAAGGGCGAGAGGGAGAGGAGAGAGGAAAGAAGGAAGGAGAAAAGGAAGAAAGAGAAAGAAAAGAAAAGAAAGAAAGAAAATAAGGAAGGAAAGAAGGGCTGGAGAGATGGCTCAGTGGTTACGAACACTGGTTGTTCTTGCAGAAGACCTTGGTTTGAATCCCAGCACCCACACAGCAGTAATAACTGTCCGTAACTCCAGTTCCAGGGGATCCAACAGCCTCTTCTGTCCTCCAAGGGCATAATAATAAAAAATACTTTAAAAATATATAATAAGCTGGGTGTGGTGGTGCACGCCTTTAATCCCAACACTCGGGAGGCAGAGGCGGAGAGAAAGAAAGAAAGGAAAGACCCTGTGGGAGAGAGCAGGTAAGACAAGCTGTGGGCACTTGTGGTGACCTGCTCCTGCTCGGCACTTACCTTTTGCTGTCTGGTCCCCTTGTCTCTGGTCAGCCTCTTTCTTGCCTGTGAGCATTTTATTGACCCAGGGTCTCACACTGTGGCCAAGGCTTGTGTACAACTCATGTGATCCTCCTGCCTCAGCTTCTCAAATGCTAGTATTACAGGTCTGCACCACCATGCCTGTTCCAGACCAGTCTCTTTCAGACTCTGTAGCTATTGGTCTTTTCACTCCACACATCCTGAGAGGGCAGGATGGCGTCCCTTGTTTCCCACTTTGCCCTCCACTGGCAGCCCTGGGCATGTAGTTGGTAGTTGTTGCTCTTAACCACTGAGACATCTCTTCAGTTCCTGGCCTTGAACTTTTGGTCATCCTGCCTCAGCCTTCTGAATATCTGGGATAGCAAGCCTGTGCCATCATGCTTAGCAGAGGCTGATAATTCAGAGACCACCTAAGGCAGCCCCAAGCCTTTGGGTGCAAGTGTAGCAGGCAGAGTCAATTCATCTTCTATGTCTGCCTCCTGTGGTTATTCCCACTTCTGGGCTCTGGGATCTAAAATTTGGAGCCTGGCTATCAGCATGTCCTGTATGAAGCATGGGAAACCAGCACTTCGTTACTCAGAGCCACACAGGAGATAGCTATAGCATATTGTGTGTGTGCTAAACCCTGTTTCAACATCAGAGAGGTGATGATGCTTGTTACAAGCCACCAAGAGCACACACGTGAGCATCTGATGTGGGAAGTTCACAACCAAGGCAAGTACATGTAACTGCATGAGTGACATGTCTTCTCCTAGTTACTATGGCAAAAGCATTGTCAGTTGAGGGGCTACAGGGTTCCTTCTGAAGTGACCAGGAAGGGGCTTATCTACATCATGGGGTTGACAGAGCTCTGACAAAAGTGGGGAGGGTCTCAGATGTGTGGACTCATACTTGAAATCCCAGCACTTGGAAGACTGAAGCAGGGGGATTGCTATGAGTTTGAGGCCAGCCTGGCTAGCATAATGCATTTCAGGCCCACTTGGGCTATAGAGTAAGACCCAGTCTGTTAAAAAGAAAAATAAGTAAATAAGTAAACAAATAAGCTCATGGGTATAGCTGAGCTAAGAGGTAGACACAACCCACTAGCCTTTCATAAAGCCAAAGAGGACTAGAGGATTTGTTGCAACCAAGGGTCTAGTTACTTCAAGACCTGAAAACAACCCTCACCCTAGATATGTTCAATTCACACCCAGGCACTGAGGTGACAGGTCTGAATTTGTTTGTCCTGTGTGGTGTGTGCAGGTGTGATTGCTGGTGCAAGGCACCTGTAGGCACCAGAGCTTGATGACAGGATGTCGTCCTCAATCACTTCTCTACCTCACTGTATTTTGCCTGTGTCTGTGTGTGCATGTGTGCACGTGTGTGTGGAAGCCAGAGGTCAACATCAGTGTCTTTCCTTTATCACTTCCCACCTTGTTTTTTAAATATTTTAATATTATTTTATTTTATGTGTATATGTTGCCTGAATATGTGTAAGTGCACCCATGTTGTGCAATGCCTGTGGAGATCAGAAGAGGGTGTTGGATCCTCTGGAACTAGAGTTATGGACGGTTATTAGCCACCATGTGGGTGCTGGAAATCAAACCCAGGTCTTCTGCAAGAGCAGTCAGTGCTCTTAACCCCTGAGCCATCTCTCCAACCCCCAACTTATTTTTGAGACCACATCCCTCAGCGAACCCAGAGCTCCCTGATTAGGCTATACAAGCTGGTCAGCAAGCCTCTGAGATTTGCCTGTTTCTATGAGTCCCCAGTTCTGAGATTACAGACACGTGCCGTCATGCCTGGCTTTTACATGGGTGCTGGGGATCTGAACTCAGGTTCTAATGAGTGTGCAGCAAGCACTTTACCCCCTGAGCCATCTCCCCAGCTCCACTTGGTTTTTGGAGACAGTCTCTCAGTGAACTTGGAGTTTGCTGATTAGGCTAGACTGGTTGGCCAGTAAGCTCCCAGGATCTGTCTGTCTCTGCCCCTGAGGGCAGGGGTTACAGATGCATGTACTGCCATGTGGGTATTGGGGATTCAAACCCAGGTGAGCATGCTTACAAAGCCACCTCACCAGCCTTTATTTATTTGAACTAAAGTCTCGCTCTGCAGCCCAGGCTGACCTCAGACTCACAACAATCTTTTTCCTTCGCCTCCTGAGTGCTAAGATTACAGATGGGCACCATCAATCCTGAGTTTCTTCTGGTCACCCTCAGGTTTCCAGTTTCAGTGACTTACAAATCAAAAGCATGAGTATTTGCAGTGTCCTTTGCCAGCAGGTCTGGGCCACACTTGTAGTCCCACCTTTGAAGACTGCAGCCTCTGGGTTTTGACTTACACCCTGTTTAAGGCCAACATCCTTTTAACCTTCAGTCACTGGGCCCTAAGGTCAGATTTGGAGGCCTTGAGCCAAAGCAAACAGAAATCTTTGTCTTTAACCTCATTCTGCATTCTGCAGAATGCCTTCTTTAGAGTCCACCAGCAGAGTGTACTCTGTCCCAGACCACATGTTCTTCATGGTGAAGTGGCAAGACCCTCAAGGAGCTCTAGTGTGGGAAGATGGAAGTCCTTGAGACCTCCAGATTTTCAGTCACTCAGAGTCTTCTTTAGTGCTGGTCCCACCTGGACTTTTCCTATGGCAACACAGCATAGGTGTTCGCTTCACCCCACCTGAAGCAGACAAAGCTTTAGCCAGAACACTATGCAGATGACTGCTCTGCTCCTGCAAGCTGATGTGAAGGCATATGGCAGGGTTGGCACCCAATCGATTTCCACTTTTTTCTTTTTTTTCTTTTTTGGTCTTTTTGAGACAGGGTCTCCCTGTAGCCCCAGCTGTCCTGGAACTTACTATGTAGACTAGGCTGGCCTCGAACTCACAGAGATCTGCCTGCCTCTGCCTCCCAAGTGCTGGGATTAAAGGCGTGTGCCACCATGCCCAGCACACGCAAAAAAAAAAAAAAAAAAAAAAAAAAAAAAAACCCAAACCCTTTTATGGGGGCTAGAGAGATGGCTCAGTGGTTAAGAACACTGGTTGTTCTTGCAGAAGACCCGGGTTTGAATCCAAGCACCTGCATGGCAGCTAACAACTGTCCATAACTCCAGTTCCAGGGCCTCTTGTCTTCTGAGGGCATTGCACAACACAGGGGCACTTACATACATGCATATAAAATAAGTACATGCATATACATAAAATAAAAATAATAAAATATAAAAAACTTTTATTGTTATGAGAGTTTTGCTTTGCCTGTATGTATGTAAGTGTATTTATGTTGTGCAATGCCCATGGAGGCCAGGAGGTCAAATACAGTGGAACCGGAGTTATAAATGGCTGTTAGCCGCCAAGCGGGTGCTGGGAACTGAACCTGGGTCCTCTGCAAGAGCAGCCATCATTCTCAACTGCTGAGCCATCTCTCCAGCCACTGTTCTTCACTCTTAATTTGACACAGGGACTCACTGTGTTGCCCAGGCTGGCCTTCAACTTGCAATCTTCCTGCCTCAGCTTCCCATGTGGCTAGAATGACAGAACTACGTGTATCAACATGCCCAGCAGGAACTAACTTCTACATTAACTGGTATAGACAAGAAGAGGCATCTAGGCTAAAACAGAGGGTAGTTTGGGTCATTCTCAGGTGATGTGAGAAAAGAATGAGGCCCTACCCAAGGTCATACACATTCAAGCTTTAAGCGGTTAAGAACACTGGCTGTTCTTGCAGAAGACCCAGGTTCTAATCCCAGCACCCACATAGCAGCTAACAACTGTCCATAACTCCAGTTCCAGGGGATCCGACAGCCTCTTCTGTCCTCTGCGGGCATTGCAGGACACGGGTGTACTTACCTACATGCACGCATACACATAAAAATAATAAAATATTTTTTAAAAAAGGAATGTAGTCAGCAGCCTTCACAGCAAATGCTAATTGTGCTAGAATGCTTCTTAGCTGGAGAGTAGCTTCAGTTATCCTGGGGTCAGGGGTTCCTTTCCCTTGTCCTCAAAATTTCCCTTTTTAATCCTGCCTCAGTTGAGCCCTAGAAGCACAATTTCCCTTCCAAAGGGACATAGAGGGGTCTCACACCTGTAATTCAAGCACTGAAGCAGAAAGATTAGGGTGAAATGGGATTACCTGGGGCTACATTGTCCCCGGTCAGCCTGTGCTATAGAGAGTGAGACCATGTCTTAAACAAACACAAAATAAGCCTGGCATGGTGGAGCATGCTTTTAATCCCAGCACTCGGGAGGCAGAGGCAGGTGGATATCTGTGAGTTCAAGGCCAGCCTGGTCTACATAGTGAGTTCCAGGCCAGCTGGGGCTAAGGGGAGACCCTGTCTCAAAAACAACAAAAACCACAAAACAAAATGAAAACACACTCTTAGGGACACACCCCATGTATATGACCAAATGGGTACCAAGTGTTTATTTGTACACATGCCAGCAGCTCACCTAGGCTCATACCAGCCTGCACACCCACACCTGGCCGTGTTCCCCATTAATGCGCCCTGCTCTCTCCCTTCCAGCAACCATGGCCAGCGCCCCAGTGACTTTCTCCTTCTCCCTTGCCCACTTCCTTCTCTTCGTCTTCATGGCTTCCACCATTTTCCATCTCCAGCAGAAACTAGTAAATATTCAGCCCCTGTCCAAGGTGGAGATGCTTCCAAAACCCCCGGGGTCCCCAGCAGCCACGGAGGTGACAGGGAGCAGGGAGCTGCAGGGCATGTTCACCATCAACGCCATCGGCCGCCTGGGCAACCAGATGGGCCAGTACGCCACACTGTTTGCGCTGGCCAGGATGAACGGGCGGCCTGCCTTCATCCCTGAGTCCATGCACAGTACGCTGGCGCCGATCTTCAGGATCAGTCTCCCGGTGCTGCACAGCTCCACTGACAGGCAGATCCCGTGGCAGAACTACCATCTCAACGACTGGATGGAGGAGCGCTACCACCACATCCCAGGACGGTATGTGCGTCTCACAGGGTACCCGTGCTCCTGGACCTTCTACCATCACCTGCGCCCGGAGATCCTGCAGGAGTTCAGCCTACACGACCACGTGCGGGAGGAGGCCCAGGCCTTCTTGCGGGGCCTGCGGGTGAATGGGAGCCGGCCCCGCACCTTTGTGGGCGTCCACGTGCGTCGTGGGGACTATGTACACGTCATGCCCAAGGTGTGGAAGGGTGTGGTGGCTGACCGAGGCTACCTGGAGCAGGCCCTGGACAGGTTCCGGGCTCGCCACCAGTCCCCAGTCTTTGTGGTCACCAGCAACGGCATGGCCTGGTGCAGAGAGAACATCAACATCTCCCGAGGGGACGTGGTTTTCGCTGGCAATGGTATCGAGGGCTCTCCAGCCAAAGATTTCGCGCTCCTCACACAGTGCAACCACACCATCATGACCATAGGGACTTTCGGGATTTGGGCTGCCTACTTGACAGGTGGGGACACCATCTACCTGGCCAACTACACCCTCCCGGACTCTCCCTTCCTCAAAATCTTTAAGCCAGAGGCAGCCTTCCTACCTGAGTGGGTGGGAATCCCTGCAGACCTGTCCCCACTCCTTAAGCACTAATGCAAGCCTGTCCCTGACCACTGTGGCAGGACCCAAGGCATTCACAGCAAGACCCTTCTGCCTTGTACAAGCATGCCTTGGGATGCAAGCAAGAGAATGCTAACATGTTCAAAGAACATGTTCACAGGCTGAGCACCACCAGAGCAGGTGTGATCCAGCTCCAACATTCATTTACTAAACAGCTTAGATACATCATAAGTGACCCCAGTTCCCTCTATATTCTTGGGGTGCCATCATTTCTAAGCACAGCTGCCTAAAGATGCCCAAACGGCAGCAACGTACTGATAACCATTGCAGCAAGAGAAGGCTCATCCTTAGCTTGAGTCCCTTTTGAAAGCTCAAGGAAACCTGTATTCATCCATTGTTTTGCTTGTCGTTGGTACCCTGTTCCCATGGGCTCCTTCTTTGTCCTAATCAGGCTATCTGAGAAAAAGCCATGTTGCTATTTAACATAAGTGTAACAACGTCACAAGCCCACCTTAGCAGCCCTCCCTTCCTGGAGTATATATCATCAAGAGCAGGGAGACCAGAGTGGCTCCGTGAGCCCTAGGGGCTTCTTCTTGCTCTTTCAGAATGTGTCATCATCTGTTACACAGTGGGTGCACCCCATAACACTCCTCTCACAAAGACCTTGGAACCACCATTACCAACACAGCCAGGAGGATCTGACTTATAGAGTGGGGTGTGGTGGTGCCTTCCTGCCATTCTATCATAGGGTAGGCTGAGGCAGGAGTGTCCAAGAGTTGGAGGCAAGCCTGGGCTACATTGTGAGACCCTATCAAAAAGGAAAACCTTAAACCTTGTGTGGTGACACATACCTGTAATCTCAGCATTCAACAAATGGAGGATCAGGGGTTCAAGATCATCCTTCACTACATGTCAAGTTCCACGTCAACCTGGACTACATAAGATCTTGTCTCAGAAAGAAAAAAAAGAAAAATGAAAATTCCTAAATAAATAAAAGTGCGCCTCTCCACCACAGTTTCATGCTCTTGAAGGTGATGTGTTTGAGCCACTCATTCGCCTTAGGTCCTAGGCACAGGTGGTGTAGTGGATAAGAGAACCCTTCCAGAGGGTTGCTGACTTACAATGGAGTCATTTTCTCAGAGGTAGAAAAGCTGCCAGTGAGGGGCTGGGGTGTGGCTCAGTGGTAGAGTCTGCACTTAGAATCCTCCAGTGAGGGGCTGGGGTGTGGCTTAGAGTAGACCCCTGCCTAGACTCCCCCAGTGAGGGGCTAGGAGCAAAGCTCAGAGGTAGAGCCCTGCCTAGCATAAAGCAAAGTCCTGGGTTTCATCCCCAATACCACAAAAAAATTAATTAAAATTGACAGTGATGATAGATGAACTGAGTATATGGGAAGCAATAAATCATACCTTATCAATGAATGGACTGTAATGGGTGTGAATCCAATCTCCAAATTATGTTAAGATAGACCAGTTCTAGCCAGGCATGGTGACATATGCCTTTAATCCCAGCACTTGGGAGGGAGAGACAGGCGGATCTCCATGAGTTCAAGGCCAGCCTGATCTAAATAGCCAGTTCCAAGCAAGCTGAGGCTACAGGGAGACCCTGTCTCAAAAAGGCCAAAAAAAAAAAAAAAAAAAAAAGAAAGAAAAGAAAAGACCCGCTCTGGTACTCACTGTGATTTTATGGTAGTTATATAGTTGTGTAACCAGAACCACACTTAAGATAAAAAAGGAGGTGGGTTAGGTGTGGAAACACAAGCATTTAATCTGAGCACTGGAAGCTGAAGCCAGAGAATGGCCAATTTGACAGCCTGACTGCAGAGTGAGATCTTGTGGAAGGGAGGGAGGAGAGAGGTAGGGATAAGAAAGCCTACCTCTGTGAAGATCCAGGGAGGAGAGAGGTAGGGATAAGAAACCCTACCTCTGTGAAGATCCAGGGAGGAGAGAGGTAGGGATAAGAAACCCTACCTCTGTGAAGATCCAGGTGGCTGTGGATGTCAGGACATGCTTGGGACTCCCTAGGGACTCAGACCAGGGGAGGAACTGGTATATGTAAGGTTGGATTAATAGCAGTGAGGACTGCTGGACCCCAAATCTTTCCCTGTTTGGATTCAAGTTGGCACCCTACCAAGCCTGCACTAGTCTTCCAAATCTCCATCTTCTAGAGAATTCATTGACCACCCCTGCCCCTACTTCTCTTGAGGCTGCACAGGGCCCCACAATACCCTCTACCCAGGAAATGGAGGCAGATGACAAAAAGGGGGGCAGAAGGGGCCTGAGCAGTCAGGGATGGGGAGATTGACATGGAAATGAGAAAGTCTCCTGGGGAGGTAGCTCAGTTGGTAGGGTGGTTGTTTAACATGCTCAAAGCCCTAGGTTCCATCCCCAGCCCTGCATAAACCAGGCAGAGTGGCTCATGTCTGTAACCCCAGGACTCAGGAGGTAGAGGCAGAAGAATCAGTTCAAGATCGTGCTCACCTACAACATGAACTCAAGGCCATCCTGGGCTTCATAGTGACTACAAGCCAGCCTGGACAAGAGGATGAGGCCCTGTCTCAACAAGCAAGAACAAGGGGCTGGAGCGATGGCTCAGTGGTTAAGAACGTTTGTTGCTCTTGCAGAGGACCTGAGTTCAGTTCCCAGCACCCATACTAGGCAGCTCACAACCACCTGTAACTCTAACTTCAATGTCCTCTTCTGGCCTCCACAGGTGTGCATACACACAAATTAAAATAAAGCAAGGACAAAAGTCTCTAAAATCTGAACAAGCACCCCCTACCTCCAGGGCTGGGGCCCCCTTGGCCACTTTTCAGCTTGCTAGGTTCTGCTGTCTCTAGCTCAGGTCAACCACAGACCATGTGCTGCCTTCTGCTCTAGTGCCAAATCTCAGGAGCTTCCCGAGTGGCCAACCTCCTCCACACCTTCAGGCCTTCACAAGTTTCCTCTCCCTTCCAGGAGGCTATGTTTCAGGCAGCTCTCTGCCATCACCTCACCCTTGGAGGCTCAGCCATGTTTCTGTGACTGACCCTCCTCCAGGGCTTCTGTCCTTTTTGAGAGTCACAGTCCTATGATCCCTTGTACCACAAGCATCAAAGTGTCTGCCCTGGGATTCTGCAGTCTCAAGGCTTCACCTGAATGGAAACCTAAGCTCTTGGTCTTCTCAACTCTGAGAGTCCAGGCTGGGGACTGATTATATACCTGATATCCATGTATTCACCTCCCACCCCCATAACACTATGTGCATCTCTTCCAATAATCTGATCTCAACAGAAAAGGAAAATGGAACAAAATTTAAGGCCTGGCCTGGAAGACATAGACACATGTCTTGTGGTCACATTGTTTAGCCTCTGCCCTCTTTTCTGTTTGGTGTTTGTTTTCTTGTTTGTGAGACAGGGTCTTATGTAGCCCAGGCTAGTCTTGAATACTCTGTGTAGCCCAGGTTGGTTTTGAATTCCTTATGTAGCTGAGGTTGACCTTGAACTTCTGATCTTCGTGCCTCAGCCCATCCTTACCCCTGAGTGCTGTGATTACAAGTGTGACCCACCACACAGGGATGAATATTCATTCTTGGGAGCCCTAAGCTCCCACACAAGAAGGCCAATAGCCCACTAGAAAGAACATGTGGAGAGGAAAAGGGCTGATCCTCATAGAGGAGAGAGATCCAGACACCCAGCAACCCTGCTGGGCTAGTCTTCTTTCTGTCCCTATAACTATGTCAACATATTCCACTGTGCCATGTGGGGTGCCCTTGTACACCTGGGTCCAGGGATGACTGTAACCCTCACCAACATCTTATGGAGCTGAAGAACTGTCCGGCAGAGCCCAGTCAACCATAGACACTTATTGTTGTGATTTGAATATTAACTGTCCCCAGGAGCTCAAGTGCCAAACACTCAGACCCCAGCTGGTGGCACTATTTGGACAGGTTCTGGAAACCGGGAAGTGGGACCTAGATGAAGTAGGCCACTGGGGGTGGGTCCTTATGGGTATCTCATCCTGGCTCCTCTCACTGTCATCCCCCCCCCACTCCCCAATGCTTCCTGTCCATCATGGGGTGAAGAATCTCTACCACAGGCTGGGCAGCCATGATGTTCCACCCAGGCACATGGGGCTACATGACCACTGACTGAACCTTCTGAAATCCTGAGCAAAATAAGTCCTTCCCCATTGTTCTCCTGTAAAAGTAACTGATATAGTTGTGTTTTATGGATTCAAGCCCAAAATTAGATGCAAAGGCTGGGTTTCACTGGCTTCAAGGTGCAGGGGATCCACAGCTTAATAAAGCTGGTAGAGCTTCTCACAGCACCAGGCTGAGGCCAGGGCTCTCCCAAGGTCACTTTCTTGCTTCTCTCCCCTTTTGCCATCCTGCCCCCGGCCTCCACTTCTTGTTTCCCCTAAAAGTGCTCCCTCAACAAACCACAACAGCCGGGAGGTTGAGGAAGGAAGATTGTCACAAGTTTGAGGACAGCCTGTGCTACATACCAAGACTCCATCTCAAAAAACAAAACAAGAAAGCTAGGTATAATCTCAGTACTTGGGAGGTGGAGGCAGGAGAATCAAGAGTTCAAAAGGCCAGCCTCAGCTACATAGGGAACGCTAGGCCAGCCTGGGCTACACAAGACCCTGTCTCAAAAAAACAAGAAGGGGGGACAGAAGCAGCAAAAACAAGAAAAGAAGGGAATAAATAAAGGGCTTAGTGGCGCATACCAGTAATTCTAGCACTCAGAAGGTGAAGGCAAGAGGAACAGAAGTCCAAGGTCATCTTCAGTAGGGCGCTTATAGCCACCTCAGAGAGGTTGTTTCTGGTCCTTTCACCTCTAATTGGAGCACAGAGGTCTGCCTCTCTTCCCCCTCTCCTCTCTCCTGAAAACCTGGAACTTTCCCTATTCCCAAAGATGGGCAACCGTCTCAGGGTCTGGGGGGAGGGGCAAAACACACCTGGAGGTCTCCAAAGGAAGCAGCAAGCTTGTTTGCACTGGCCAGCAGCAAATGAATCCCCATTCCCAATCATACAGCCCGGGAGGGGGGTTACAAGGAGGCCAGGTAGGCACTTGGCAAATCAGCAGCAGTTGGGTCAGGAGGGGATGGGTGCGTCTTGGCTAATGTGTGGTGGGAGGGTTGCAGCGGCGGGGTGCAGGGACCTCTCTGCCCCAGGTCCTGGGGAATCCTAGGGTCCATCACCATGGATCCGGCAGCAGGTCCCAGAGCCGGCTACTGCTGGAGTCAGTTAAGTCCATAGAGAAAATGCTAGGGCCCGGAGGCCCTGAGCCCAGCGGTGGACCCCCGCTCAAGGCCTCCAGCCAGTCCAAGGAATCTGTCGGGGCCCTCGGAGAGGGGGTCGGAGAGCTTGTGGAGGATGGCATTGAAGAGGAGAAGACGGAGGAGAGGCCTTCCGAGTCCGGAGAGGGGGACAGCACGTCGAATGAGCCAGGAAAGTCCAGGGGGATGGGTGGCAGCGGGTCTGCAGAAGGAAGGTGAGCTGAGGATGTCGGATCTTGCTCACCACCCTGTATTCCAGCCCACACCTCCCTCGGGCCCAGGAGTCTCCAAGTTCAGCTCCATCTCCCCCAAATGCAGGAGTTCGGCTCCTACCATCAGACTCCAACTGGTCTTCCAGGATGTCATCAATGTCCCGGTTTGGAAGCAGCTGTGGATGAGCACACGCGGCGTGACTAAGGGATCCGCTGTGGCCCGTAGCCCCCAACCATGCATCCCCCAATCATGCATCCCCCCAACCATGCATCCTCTGCCACCTGAGCCCTGCGGATGGCTTCCTGCAGCTCCTCCTCCAGCGTGAGGCCCGCTGGAGAAGGGGTAGGGATGAGAGCGGGAGTTAGAGCTGCAGCCAGAGCCGGAACCGGAGCCGGAGCCGGAGCCGCATCCACAGCCGGAGCCGGAGCCGTTCCCAGCGGATCCGCAGCTCCGGGAAGGCGCAGCCTGCGAGACGCCGAACTTGCCTTCACCTAGAACCGGGAGAGGGCAAGTTCCCTAAGCACCTTGATCCAGTCCCTTCTTGGGCCTCGCCCTTTTTATTTTACATTTTTATTTATTTTCGTATGCGTTTTGATGTGCATGACATGGCGTGCGTATGGAGGTCAAAGAAAACTTGTAGGAAGGAGTTCGCTTCAACCGAACTCGAACTCACTTTGTAGCGCTTGGGCACTAGCACTTTTATGTGCTGAGTCAGCGCCAAGTCCCGCCCCTATTCTCTTATTGGCTTCCCCGGTTGTTATTGGCCACGCCCCTACTAATGCGACCGGCCCCGCCCCGCCCACCATCACGCCTTCTTTTCTCTTGGTTGGTCCGAACGTGCACGGCCCCGCCCTTACCACGCCTGGCCTCCGGGCGGTTCCCAGGGCCTTGGGCTTGAGCCGCGGCCAGGGAGCACCAGCTTCTTTGTCCTCGCGCCGGGGCTTCTGACGCTCTCGGGGTGGGACGCCGCCGCGCATGCGCTCCAAGAGCATCGACTTGGTCCCTGACACCGGGAGGCCCCGGAGACGCAGCTGCTGCCGAAGCTCTGAGACCTGGGGGGCGGGGGAGGGGTGCTGAGCGGGCTCTGGGGCACATGTACTTGGAAACCGAGATGAGGGACTGGAACCCAGACCTAACTTGGGTTAGAGGCTGTGGGGTTATGAATTGTAGGCTCAGCCCTGGGACACTGCACTCCAAACTCACCGTCAGCTCTTCTAGTTTGAGGGTCTGAAGTTCCAGCTTGTGGGAGGGGGGCGAGGGGCTGGAGACTCCTGGCGGGGAGGGCTTCATCCTAGGCGAGGGTGACAAAAGTTAGGACAGAGAAAGATCGTAAAATCCTTAAAAACAGGGGCTCTGGAGGATGCAGGAAAATGAGGAATTCTGGGCCTCTGGTGGAGCAAACTTAGGCCTGGGTTTGTGGGTGTGGGCAGGATGCAACTCGGTTGTCTCAGGGCAGAGGGCTGGTAGCATGCACAGCGGGGCTCCTGGGGAGGAGGCAGCCCCAGGCCAGGCTCCCTTCCCTTGCCTCTAGGTTTGAGGCAGGAGGATGGGACCTGAGTTTCTGGGTTCCTGGAGAGTAGAAATGTGGTTCCTACCGAAGATGTTGCTGTGAGTTCTTCCCATCCCACAAAGGTGGCTCCAGGGGACCCAGGGCTGAACCCTCTGTTTGGGGATCTGCCCTAGGCCCTTGTCTCTGCTCTGGGGGCATGTACAGGTGGTATGTCAAGTTCCCTCTGGACTTGGGTTCCCTCCAGTATTGGGAGCTCTTGGGAGATTCCTGAAAGATCAGGTAAGGCCCAGCAGTCACTCCAGTGGTCTGGAGGCTTGGAAAGTTCAAGACCAGCCTCAGGCAGGGTGGTGAGCACTTTTAATCCCAGCATTTTGGGGGTCAAAGGCAGGTGTATCTTTTTAAGTTTAAGGCCAGCCTGGTCTACATAGCAAGTTACAGGCCAACTGGGGCAGCAGGGAGACCCTATCCCAAAACAAACACAGTAAGACCAAAAAAAGAGAAAGAGGATATTTTGCTTTCCTGCCCCATGCAATGTGTGGGGTCAGCTTGGCAACAACAGACATAGATGCTAGCTAGGCTGACCAAGACTAGACTGTCATGGGCACGTCCCCTTTACTCCCATCAGCACTCACCTTTTTGGGGGACCTCCAAGGACAATATGCTGGCTTAGGGGGCAAGATGCCAGGACTGAAGAGGAAAGAGGCAGGGACGGAGGGCAAGGCTGGCCCTGAAGCTGAGATCCATGGATCTGAATCACAGGCTGGAGAGATAGTGGAGGACCCTGAGAAGCCAGCAGGCAACAAGCCTGTCAAGGCCAGGAGAGGATAGGGGGAGGGGCATAACCCAAATTGTCCAGCTGGGCACCTGGCCTCCTAGGGACCCAGATTTTCATATCTTCAAGAAAGAAGGGGAGTCTTGTTCTTGGTCAGCAAGGGGTGTGTTAGCTTAGGCTCACAGATGGCTAGGGTATTGCTGGAATAGGGAATGAGGCCTGCCCTCCATGTTTCAGGACAGAGGGACCCAACAAAAAGCCACATTCAGACATGTGAGTGTAGAAGACCTGACTCCATTAAGGAAAGAGCATCTAGGTTGGGGCATCTGGGGTGGGAAGGCAGGAGGAGCAGGACACAGAGCTGTGATGGGTGGGGAGGAGACCCAAAGTTCAGAGACCTCTGGAAATGACAGGCTGGGGTTTTGCTGTCTTGGGACAAGCACAGTTCTCAGGGACTTGGACAACCATCCCTTCCTTTCAGGAGCCCACACTTACTTGAGTCTTGATTCCGTCTGTGGATCCGAAGCTGCAGGACTGTGGAAGGAGGGGGGAGTGAGACAAGGAAGGCAGGGAAGGGAGTGTCCGGACTTGGCGGGTAGGGTTGGTGGGAGCTGCAGTTGTTGGTGGGACCTGTGTGCCCAACCCCTTCATACACCCCTTTCAGGCGGGTGGGCCGGCAGCCTGCTCCCTTTCCCTTCCTGGGGCCTCCCGTCTGCTCCTGCCAGCAAAGCATCTTGGGCCAGAGCTGCTCTGGGGCTGTGAGCCAGCCAGCCTGCAAATAGGAGGCAGCCCTACCCTGGGCTCCACCTGCCACTTTAGGAGTGTGTGCCCACTCAGGCACATTCACCATCTTGGTAGCCTGGCCCATCAAGGCCACATTTCTTTTCTTCTCTTTCTTTTTCTCTTCTTTGTCTTTTTGAGACAGAGTCTCCCTGTAACTCCAATTGGCCTGGAATTCACTATGTAGATCAGGCTGGCCTTGAACTCACAGAGATCTGCCTGCCTTTGCCTCCCAAGTGCTGGGATTAAAGGGGTGCCCCACACCCAGCAGCCCCCACTTTCTGTGCTATCTCTGGACCTCCCCACAGCCAGGGCTCTGCAAATCTATTCCTGAAACTCTAGTTTTGTCCACATGCTGACTCTGTGCTTTTGTAGCCTTTACACGATGTTCGCCCGTGGCTCACTTTACCCTTGCATGCGTCCACGGTATGCTATTCCAACACTCAGGACTCGGCCCTCATTTGGGGGGCAGGGGTCTCCCACTGCATATTTCTGTTCCTCTCTGTATGTTCACAGCTCTTTATATGTTAACGAATCATGACTGATGAATGACATCGTCCAGACTTGAAAGCTCACGGTCTCCTCAGTCACCCTCCCGTGCCACTTGGGTCCCTTGCTTTGCATACAGATCAGTTTAAGCCCTTGCTCCTTGGCAGAACATGCACTCATGGGCACCCCACTGTTCAGCAAGCCATGTGCACACTCCCCCACCACAACTCTTCCTTGGCATCACTGGTATCCAGGACCCTGGACCCTGTCCCCACATGCACCGAGATGCAATGTCTCACCAGAGCGGAACTTGGAACGGATGATTTGGGAGCGTTGAGAGGAGGCTGCCAGGGTCATCGCCAAGGCTGGGGTGGAGTCCTGGACTGGGGAGAAGGCAGAGCCACCAGAGGGAAGGGTCAAAGTGGATTGCAGGAGGCTGTCCTTCAGACAAACTCAGGAGAGAGCCTGAAAGATTAGGGACAGAAGCCCTGAGCCAGAGCTTCTGGATGGGAGAAGCCCTTACATATCCTGGTCCAGGGAAGAACTGGAACCTGCACCCCTGGGTGTGTGGGAGGAAGCTGGAGCCTGGACTCCTGAGTCTGAGTGAGGAAGGCAGGGACATGGACCCCAGGACTGAGGGAAAAGGGCTGGGGGGCTGGAGTTCTGGGTCTGGGGAAGGAGGGCTGGGGTCTCAACTCCCGGGTCATGATAGAGGAAGGACCCAAGTCTCAGACTCCTGTACCCTATGGAGGAGAGCATTGGAATCAGGACCTCCGGGTCTTTGAAAGTAGAGGAAGGGATTGTCTGGACCCCTGAAACCCAAGGAGAAGGAGGTTCAGGACTAGAACTCTATGCTCTAATGAACTAGAAGCCAAGGTTTTAGGTTCCTGGGAAGACTGACATGTCTCTAGGGGACAGACAGGGGTCCCTGCCACAGACACCTAAGACGGAATGGGTCAGATGTCACATACCAGGCCCTGTGGGAAAGGGGAACCAAAGAGGTGACTGAAGGGTTAAGGAGGACCCCTGTCTCCACCCCAGGGCGGCTTCTCACCTGGTGGGCTCCGCTCAACTGCTCAGCTGTGCCCTGAGGCGGGTGGTCTCTCCGAATGGGCTGGAGACCTCCGGCTCCGCCCCAACAGCCTAGGGCCGCCCTTAACTCCCCTTTCTGGGATGTGCCTGGAGCCCGGGAGCCGGCCTGGGATCAGAAGCCCCGCCTCGACCAGAGAAAGGGTGGGGCAGGGAGGACAGAAGTGGGGGTCCCCTACTGTCTCCTCCCGGGCGTCCTGGGCTGTGGAGTCGGGTGGAGCAGCCTCGGGCGGGCGACAGACAGGAGCAGGTGCGGGGGCAGGGGCCGGGGTGAGCAGCAGTGGCAGGTGGTCGTGCCCGGGTCCTGCGGGCAGGTGCCACCTGTTGCTTTTTTTTCCCTGACACAGCAGAGGTGTCAAGTTCAGAGGAGGGGAAAGTTCACACATGAGGCCCAGGCCCCTGGTTCTAAGAAAGGAAAGGGCAGGAGTTTGGACTCCTGTGTCTGATGGAGGAGAGCTGGGGCCTGGACCCTGGGGTCTGAGAGAGGAGGGCTGGGGTCTCACCCATGGTTCTGATGCAAGAGGGTTGGGAGTAGAGGTACTGGGTGTTGCAGTTCTGCAGTGTGCCCAGTAGAATATGCATCCTCAGGAGTTGGGGGAGAACAGGACTGGGGTATAGACTTTGTGGGTAGGAGGGAGAGATGGGGACCGTTCCCACTGGCAAGCCCACAGGGTCTGTATTCAGCAGAGCACGGTTGGGCTGTGTTCCGAGTTGTGTGGCAGAGCTCAGGGCTCCCGGGTCACATTACATGCTAGAGGGCAAGTTGAGACCATGGCTAGAAATATCTCCCCAGATGCGGCAGGCACCCAACATTCCAAGCACAGGCCCCAATACCTTAAAAAAAATCTTCACTGGTGCTGGAGAGAAGGCTCAGTAGTTAAGAGCACTGGTTGCTTTTGCAGAAGATCCAGGTTCGACTCTCAGCATCCACATGGTGGCTAACAACCGTTCATAACTCCAGTTCCAGGGGATCCGTCGCCCTCTTTTGTCCTCCTGGGACATGACAGGACTCGGGTGCACTTGCATACGTGCACGCAATGCATGCATACACTTAAAATATTTAACATCTTCATTAAGGCCCCTAAGTTTTAATAAGAGAGACGCTGCCAATACCAATACCACAGATACTTTTATTACTCCTCGGTACTCACATCTCAAGCCCGTCTTCCCACAGTCCCATCCTCTACCAACCCTACAACACAAACTCCCAGCGCTCCACGCGGGGAGAACTACAACTCCCCGAATGCTCGGTGCTCAGGCGGGCTCCAGTGAGTCGGAGCCGATGCAGGTTCAAGCTTCGCGCGCTCGCTTGTTATTGGTTTTCAAGGAGGCGTGGCCACGGGGGGTCCGTGGCGGTGATTGGCTGGCAGCTCCTGCTGTTCAAGATCCCAGAGGAGGCGACGGAGCCTGCGTAGTTCTCGATGCAGTGAGTCATCAGTCACTGGGCCGGTGAGGCGCAGGCGGGAGCTGCCCAGGGGCAGGATGAGGGGAGGGTGCGAGGAGAAACTTTCGAAGATGTCCCCTGCGAGGCCGAAAAAGACTAATTAGAGACGCAGTATGGGTGCGAGGCATCACCCAAGTTGCTCTCCTTGAGGAAGGAAAAACAGTTCTCAGCATGACAGTTGTAGTTCAGATGATCAATGGCCGCCGTGGCCTGGGAAAAAAAAAGCGATGTAGTTGGTTCCTCAGCCCTTAGATTGACTGGAAATCTGTCTAGATTCCTGAGGGTAGAGGGGCCCTACTACACAGCTGAGTTAGGATTAGGGTTGACCTCCTTACAGTTGCTGGGTATGATTCCCAGAGCCCTGCAGAGACTACTCAAATGCTTTGCCACTGTGCTACAATCCCAGCTCTTAGTCTTAAATCCTGGGAAGAAAGGATCTGGATCAGGAGGAGAGAGCTTGGGAACATTTACTCTTAGGACCCAAGGAAAGAAGACAGCCCAATGCTTGTTACCCCATTTCTGCTGACCTGTGTCCACTGCATCTCGCTCTGCAGGGGGTGGGTCCCAGGCTGGTGGTGATCCACGGCCAGGACCCAACTGGTAGTGGCTGAGTAGATGGTGGAGTTGAGCAGGGGTCAGGGTGGGGTAGTCAGTTCTGAGGCTGCTCCATGAAGCCTACAGAGAGACCAGGTGAGAAGTCTGGTTACATCTGGGTGGGGCAGAACAGGCCTGTCAACCCAGTTCTTGGGAGGCTGAGGCAGGAAGATTGAAAGTTTAAGGCCAGCCTGGTCAATATAGTGAAACCCTGTCTTAAGAAGCAGAGATCTGGAGATGTAGGTCAGTGATGGAGTGCTTGAGCAATGCCTTGGGCTTAATCTCCAATATTACAAGAAAAACAAATCAATAAAATATAAGTGAAATTAAGTGATCTACCTGAATCAGGTAGAGTTTGCTTGTCTAAAAACTTTGATGGGATGTGTCAGCATTATCACCACAATTTCTGGCATGCAGTTTATATTCAGTGAGTGGGTTTTTTTTTTCCTCTTCTTTTAAATGTTTCACACTTTATTAAGAAAATTGCATGCTTTCTGTTTATTCCACATGGTCAGAACCTGACTGGAAAGCATAAGAAAGCACAAGCCTCCTTCCCAGAGTCTCAGGTGTAGAAAACTCTTCTTTCCCAGTGAATGTTTTAACCATCATTTTTCTCATACCAGACTACCTGAATCAGCATGTCTGAGACAGGGGCCCTGGAAACTATTTCTAGCAAGTTCCACTGGCATTCAGGCACCCATGTTTGGTCATTCTTGATGCCCACTTCTGCAGCTGCCAGTAGTCCACCATGGTGTCTGATCTAGGCTTGGAGATGACTTGGGGTCTCAGGGAGCTGGAGGTCAACTGAGTGGGGCTGAGGAATCATTAAAAGTCAAGATCAGGGGACTGGAGAGATGGCTCAGCGGTTAAGAACACTGATTGTTCTTGCAGAACACCCGGGTTCAAATCCCAGCACCCACATGGCACCTAACAACTGTCCTAACTCCAGTTCCAGGAGATCCGACAGTCTCTTTTGTCCTCTGCGGGCATTGCACAACATGGGGGCACTTACCTACACACAGGCAATACATGCATACACATAAAAATAATAATAATTTGTTTTTAAAGCCAAGATCAGGTAGATCTGACCAAGAGTCACCTTGAGCAGGGAGGTGCGGGGCACACATAGTAGGTTCACAGCAATGGAGAGTTTCCGGAAGAACTCGGTGGCAATATCACCTAGTCCAGCCCCCTGTAGCCAATCCAAGACGAGGTCCAAGTTAGTTCGGATTTGGACAGCCCGAGACCACTGATAGAAAGGTCGGCCTTGACCTGTGTAGGAAGGGATGTGAGGTAGTGGGTGGACCATGTCCTTCTACTTCCCAGGCAACGTCTACATGTGATACAGGGCACCCAAAAGTGAAGCTGGAGTCTGTCGTATGCCCACCTGAATGTGGGTCTGAAGCTCCCAGCCCAACCCTCACCTCTTTCCATCAGTGAGTTGAGAAGGGATGCATTGGAGAAGAAGAACAAATAGCCAAAAGTCTGGGACACGAGGTCAGGATGCAGCTCACATTGGCCTGTCAGTTCCAGGGCTGCTTGGAACACGCCCAGAGTGGGCCTCAGGCCAGGAGGCATGGCCTCCAGCTCCGCACCAGGCCCTGGCAGCTCTGCCCCAGCGGTGAAGGGGTTGCTGTCCAGGAGAGCAGGTAGTGTTGAATAAAGAGTCTGAGGAGACACAGAGGCAAAAGCTAGTGGCTAGATTACAACTCTTTTGAGGCTTTGGTGATAGAGCATAAAGATAATGGAGAATTCTACCAAGGGCTTCTGAGAATTCTACCTTGACCATCCCAGGGGCTCCATGATCAAATCCCTACATTGTAGATGGGTTTCTAGCACTTATTACTCCCTCCTAGGACAACTCAACTCTTGAGAGATGGTTTCTGGAAGAGTCCTGGACAGTTTAGGAGCAGATTGCATGCATTATGGCACCAGTGGTTCTCACAGTTCAGTAGGACAGGACACTGGACAAAGAGGCCTTCTTCAGTCAAAGGTTTGACCAGAATTCCCAAAGGAAATTATAAGAATGGAGAGTCAGGAAGTGGGAATGGGGTGGCAGCCAGCCAATGGAAAGTGCGATCAGGCCAAGGACAGGAAATGAGATCAGAGACAAATAAGAAATAAAAGCACACTTGGCAAGGATGTACAGGAAGTGAAGCCTCAGAGGAAGGGGCTTCACAATCAAGGCTGCTCCACAGAACCAGCCTAGTCTACATAGCAAATTCCAGACCACCAAGGGCTTTATAGTGAGACCCTATCTCAAAAAAAGCTTGAAAAAAATGGTAGTAGAGATACAGCTGGTAACGAATTCAGTTTGTCAAGACAGGAAGTGTCAGCCCAAACAGGAAGTGTTATCTCAAGAGCAAAGTACTAAGGTGAGATGGGAAATGACTCCAAGGAGAGAGACATCTTGAGTCAAAGAGGAAGTGACATCACAGCAACATGATACAGATTAAACAGAAAGGGAGGGTATTTTAACTGGGAAGCAGGGGCAAGACCCACCTTGGTGAGGTAGTAGACAGACTGCTGGAAAGTACACATGATGACCTCATCCAGAAGGGCCAAAGCCTCATCACACAATTCCAAGTCATTGCAGAGCTGTGGGTCTGAGGACAGACCTGGGGGTGAGAGAGGGAACCAGAGGCTAGCTGCCAGAGCCCAGGTCTCTGGGTTCAGGGTGTGATGGGAAGCCAAGATGAGCTTGGGCCAGGGTCAGAGCTCACCCTCCTGGTCAGCCTCTTTCTCCATCTCTAGGACCTTCTCTTGAACAAAGCTCAGCAGCTCTGTTGTGTTAGCCATCCACAGCATGAGTGGCCGCAACTCCATAGACACGGCCTCAGGAGTCAGGGGTACCTCAGGGACTCCCTCCGGGTGGCTAAGAAAAAAGGGAGGACCCCTGTGAGCCTTGCCCAACCTTCATCATAAAGATCAAAGCCCAAGATTTGAGTCTGCTCCCAAGAAGGTACAGAACGTGCATTAAGGCACCCATGGGGAACTGGGCTCCACCCCGGACCCCTGTGACCCTCCAGATCTGTCTGCCCCAGATTTCACTTACTTTTCTGGCTGGCGGTCTCCAATTTCCTTAATCTTTTCCTGTGGCACAGTAAGACCAGAATCAATGGGGTGGGGGGGTGGACTGAGGGATCAAGACTGCATACCCTGGTTTGTCTAAAAGCACCTTGTATGTGGTAGGTATGCATGCATGTATGTCTGCATCTGTTTGGATGCATGTGTGTTCATATCTGTGGAGGTCTGAAGTTGATGTCAGGTATCTATTTATTCACTCTCCACTTTGTTTATTGAGTCCTGGAGCTTCAGGTAGTCACCATGCCTGGTCACTTTTACATGGGTTCTGTATCATCAGGCTTATACAGCAAGCACTTTATCCACTGAGTCATCTCCTCAGTCCTGGCATATACCATCCCTTTTTTTGGTCTTTTTGAGACAGGGTCTCCCTGTAGCCCCAGCTGGCCTGGAACTCACTATGTAAACCAGGCTAGACTTGAACTCACAGTGATCTGCCTGCCTCTGCCTCCTGAGTACTGGGTTTAAAGGTGTGTGCCACAATGCCTGGCTCCCCCCGACACACACCTTTTTTTAAGACAAAGTCGTCTTATGTAGCCTAGGCTGGCCTCCAACTTTGGGTGATCCTCCTGCCCCTGCCTCTTCCAAATGCTCGAATTACAGTGATGCACCTTCTGGCCTTTTTATTTTCATTTTGAGACAGAGTCTCACTGAATTACCCAGGCTGGTCCTCATCTCTCTCTGTAGCCCAAGTAGGCTACATAGGTAGGTAGTAGGTCGGATGATTTGAAATCATCCTGCCTCACACTCCCAAGTAGGTGGGATGACAGGTCTGTGCCACCGCACATGGCTTCTCCATTCTAACTCTACAATCACAAGCTATTTCCTTCAGGTCTCTTCTGTCCAATGGGAGTTTCTTCCTACCCTCAAGACAATTCCTGACCCTCTAGGCCCTTTTCAATGAAACAGAACCTTTCCCCCTCTCTCAACTATTCCCTCCTGTCACTTTTAAAACTTTGGACCCAACCTCTGAAGAATGGTTTTCTTTGTTACTGCTCCAGACCCAAAGGGCTGTCACTGGACCTCCCCTCAATTCCCAGAATGGTTTCCTCCATGATGTCACAGCTCCGAAGAGGAAACTGAGGCACAAAGATCTAAGTTCAAGGGCAGCCTGGGCAGTTTAGTAAAACCTGCCTCAAAATAAAAAGTAAAAAGATGCTGGGGATGAGGCTCAGCTTTAGAGCACTTGGCTAGACTCCCTCAGTGAGGGGCTGGGGATGTGGCTGAGCACCTGCCTAGAATTCCCCAGTGAGGGGCTGGGACCATGGCTCAGTGGTAGAGCTCCTGCCTAGCATGCTGGAGGCCCTGGGTTCCATCCTCAGTACCACAAAACAAACAAATCTGAAATCCAGAGGTGGGTATTGCCTCCTCTTCAAGTACAGTACACGAATACAAATACACAATTCCTAGCATCCTATGGGCACACTTAACTCAGTCCCTCTCAAAGTGTCATGGCAAGTAGAGATACCCCAGAATAGATGTGGGGAGCAGTGGGTGTGTATCGGTGGGGATGGCAGGGGGCGCTTAAGAAAAGACTTGGGGGGCTGGTGGGTGCATGTTGGTGGGGCGGGAGGGGAGCTATAGAAAGCCTTGATGGACGAGTAGGTGGACATGGGGGCGCTCACCCAGACGGCCTCCTTGATGAGCCTAGCCAGGCGACCGAGCAGGCGCGGCAGGTGGCCTAGCTCCAGCTCCCGCGCCGAATGCTGCACGCACAGCGCCAGGAGCGTGGCGGGCCCGAGCGGGGGCAGGTCCCCTACACCCGAGGCCGCGGCGCGCACGATCTCGCCCAGCAGCGCCTCCTCCTCACGCGGTCTGAACCGCAGCACCGGCTCGCGGCCGTCCAGGTAGGCGGCCAGCGCCTCTCCGCGCTCCTGCAGGCCGCGGCCGCACAGGCGGCAGGAGAAGGCCCATCCCGGGCCGGGTGGCGTGGCCCCGGGGCGCGCGGGCAGCCAGGGCGGCCTCGCAGGCCCGGAACCGCCGGCGCGGGGGTCCTTGTACATGAACAGGAAGTGCTCGCCCAGCCCCAGCAGGTCTCCGGGGTGCAGCTCGGCCTCGCGCAGCAGGAGACAGCCGTTGTGCGTCACTGGGGCGCCCCGGGACGGGCGCACCATGGCGGGAGGCTCCGGACCCGCGCGAACCGTGCAGTGCCGCGGCAAGATGTCAGGGGCGGTGAGGAAGGTGTCCACGTACAGGGCGGGGGACCCGCCGCGGGAAGACGAGGGCCCTCCCCGGCCAAACACGTGCTGCTCTCGGGTCATAACGTACACCACGAAGTCCTAGAGGAAGAGAGAAGCGCGCTGCGTGGACGCTTCCAAACAGCACGGTTTTGCACACTAGAGTCTCGCTCCCCACCCCACCTTCTCTGAATAAATGAATACCTCCAGGGAGGTCTCCTGTGATTCCCAAAGAACTCTCTTGAGTATCTTCGCCCATGAATGACCTCTTCCAAGGTATTTTCTGATTTTGTGGGGGGAGGCTCCTTTTGAGACAGGGTCTCTCTGTAGCCCCAGCTGGCCTTGAACTCGCTAGGTAGACCACCTGCCTCTGTCTCCCAAATGATGGGATTAAAGGCCTGCGCCGCCAGGCTTGGCCCATCTCACTTTTTTTTGATATATAAAAAGATAGTTCTTCAGCCGGGCGTGGTGGTGCACGCCTGTAGTCCCAGCACTTGGGAGGCAGAGGCAGGCGGATCTCTGGGAGTTCCAGGCCAGCCTGGTCTACATAGTGAGTTCCAGGCCAGCTGGGGTTGCAGAGAGACCCTGTCTCAAAAAGACCAAAAAACAAAACAAAACAAAAAAGATATTTTTATCTGTGTGCTCACCACAGTGCTAGTGTGGAGGATAGAAGGTAACTGTGAGTCAGTTCTCTCCTTCCACCACCATGTGGGTTGGGGGGGGGGGTCTTCCTGGTAGACTTTACCTGTTGGGTTACCTCAGTTGCCCGGGCTCCACCCTTTAAGGAGGCCCTTCACATGAACGCTATGAACAGAGGCTTTCAAACTGATCATTCTTCAACAGCTCCTCTCAACTCACCTGAATGGGCTGTATTGGGCACTGGCCTCTTCCGTATCGCCCAGCCCCAGGAACGGGGGCTTCCAGAACACACTACTTCCTTACTAAAATGGACTGTTCCATCACCCTCAAAGAATAGACCTCTGGAGGCTGGAGAGAAGGCTCAGCAGTTAAGAGCACCAGCTGCTCTTGCAGAGGACGAAACTTTAGTTTCCAGCACCCACATGGCATCTGTAACTCCAGTCCCAGGGAATTTGACACCCTCTTCTGACATTCACGTTGTATGACGTGGTGCACTTACACCCATGCATGCAAAAACACTCATACACATAAAATAAAAATAAAAATAGATGCTTAGCTCAGTGGTAGAGCACTTGCCTAGCAAGAACAAGGCCCTGGGTTGTCCTCAGCTCTGAGAAAAAATAAATAAATAAATGAAAATAAATAAATAGCAGGACATGGTGGCACCTGTGCTATAGAGAGTGAGACCATGTCTTAAACAAACACAAAATAAGCCTGGTATGGTGGAGCATGCTTTTAATCCCAGCACTTGGGAGGCAGAGGCAGGCGGATCTCTGTGAGTTCAAGGCCAGTCTGGTCTACATAGTGAGTTCCAGGACAGATGGAGCTATAGGGAGACCCTGGGATTTAGTGCTTGCCTAGGAAGCACAGGGCCATGGTTTGCTCATCAGCTCTGAAAGGAAAAAAAAAAAAAAAGGATGCAGGGCCACAGAGATGGCTCAGTGGTTAAGAGCACATACTACACTTGCAGAGGACACAAATTGGGTTCCTAACACCTATGTGGGGTGACACAATCACTTCTAACTTCAGGTCCAGGGGATCTGACACCCTCTGTTGGACTCCAGGGGCACTGCACTTATATAGCACACACACACAATTTAAAACAAAATAAAATCTAAACAAAAAACAAAAACTGGATGCATCATTTGACCCCTTTCCTAAAATAAACATGTTCATGTTCTCTTGATATTCAAATATGTAAAATACATAGTAACATAGCCTAGTGGCACAGTTTGGTCATGTCAGCTACCCAGAAGGCTGAGGCAGGATGATTACAAGTTCAAAGTCAGCCTGGACAACTTATAGAGCTTCTGTCTCAAAATAAGTAAAGGGAGAACTGGAGTGTGGCTCCGTGGTAGAGCCCCTACCTAGAGTCCCCCAGTGAGGGGCCGGGGTGTGGCTCTGTGGTAGAGCCCCTGCCTAGGCTCCCCCAGTGAGGGGTTGGGATGTGGCTCAGTGGTAGAGCCCCTGCCTAGACTCCCTCAGTGAGGGGCTGGGATGTGGCTCAGTGGTAGAACCCCTGCCTAGAATTCCCCAATGAGGGGCTGGGGTGTGGTATAGAAGTAGAACATCTTCCTAGCATCCCTGAGTGAGGGGCTGAGGAAGTGGCTTGGTGGTAGAACACTTGCCTAGCATGTTCAAAGGCCTGAGTTCAGTCCCCGATACTGAATAAAGAAAGAAAGAAAGAAAGAAAGAAAGAAAGAAAGAAAGAAAGAAAGAGAGAGAGAGAGAGAGAGAAAGAAAGAAAGAAAGAAAGAAAGAAAAAGAAAACAACTACCAGAGCCTCCCATTTCCATCAACAAGAGGTCAAATCCTTCCAATGTGAGCCATCACTTTTACAAACAGAGTACTCCATTTCTCCCATCAAGAAAATATAGACATTTTGGGGCTGGAGAGATGGCTCAGTGGTTAAGAGCACTGACTGCTCTTGCAGAGGACTTGGGTTTGATTCCCAGCTCCCACATGGTGGCTAACAGCCATCCATAACTCCATTTCCAGCAGATCAACACTTTCTTCTGACCTCCTTGGGCATTGCATGACATGGTGCACTTACACACATACAGGCAGTACACTCATACACATAAAATAAAAATATTAAATAGACATTTCCAGAGCAAGGTTCCAGGTACCAAAGATTTCCCTGATCCGGGAGCCAGTTCAGTTCCCAGCACCCACATGGCGACTACCAAACATCTGTAACTCCAGTTCCAGGGGATCCGATACCCTCTTCTGACTTCCATGGGCATTGCATGCACAGGTGCACTTACATGAAGCAAAACACACTCATGCACATAAAATAAAAACAAGAAAGATGTTTGTGAGGGACATCTTTTTGACAACAGACTGGCCTTTGACCAAGGCAGTGTTTCCCTCCACCAAATAAAAGGAAATGTCTATATCCCTCAAGTGGGAGCTCTGTATCTGCCCTCCATCTCCTCAGCTCCCACTGTGCTATTTCTTATGTGGGAACCTTGCTGGGACCCTCAAAGCAGAGGCTGCCTCAACTCAAGGAATTCTGGAAGTTGTAGTTTTGTCTACCATGGCAAGTGGGGCTCTACTGGTAAGGGGAGGTGGTGCTGACCTGAGCATCCTGGTAGCCCTGGAGCAGCAGGAAGTAGGGACGGTTGGTAGGTGCCTGGATGAGGCACTGAGTCAACTGATCGAAGTCTCCAGGGTCTGAAGGCCCCACCTGGGCGTCAGCTGCCCCTGGGGCCATGCTAAGTGCCTGTTGCCTTCGTTCCTGCTGCCGTCGCCGCCTTCCCTGGAGGCTCAGCTCGGATACACTACGCCGCAGGGACAAGTTTTCAGAACGCTCCTTGCCCCCAGACCCAGCAGGGGTCCCAGATCCTGACCCTGGACCTGGACTGGCCAGTGCTGCTCCTCCAGATGCTGCCCGAGAGCGGTTCTTCTGTGTTCGCCACGAGGGGGCACCTGTGCCTGTGGGGAAATGGAGACACCACATGTGTGAAATGCCCACAGAGGCCAGAAGGGGGTGTCAGATTCCCTAGGAACTGGCCTGTGGGGAAATGGAGACACCACATGTGTGCAATGCCCACAGAGGCCAGAAGGGGGTGTCAGATTCCCTAGGAACTGGAGTTACAGGTGGTTGTGAGCAGACAGGTAGCTGTGAGCCAACATGTGGGTGCTGGGAACCGAACCTGGGTCCTTTGCAAAAAAGAGCAAGTGCTCTTAACTGCTGAGCCATCTCTCCAATCCTAGAAATTCATTCTTTTAACACCAATTTAGGAAGCACCTACTGTGCGTCAAGGTCTGTTCTAGATACTGAGTAAGAGTGAAAAATGTACTCAGGGGGATGGAAACAAATCCCTCTAGAACACCCTCTCCTAGCAGTCCACAGGCCTTGGCACAGAGTAGGCACCCTATGCAAATGAGCTTAATGAGTAAACATGTATTTTTATACATGTAAACCTATAAGCTTGTGAGATCTGAGAAGGTGGGGACTTCACTTCTCCATGGTCCCACCATGGATACCAGACCCTTAAAATATGTGTGGCCCAGTTTGTTCTCAGTGAAGACTTTGAAGGGAAAGGCAGCAGAAGGTGGAGGAAAGAGAGATTGCCATTCTTAGCCAAGCGTGGTGGCATGCCTTTGAGCAAAGGCAGGTGGATCTCTGTGAGTTCAAGGCCAGCCTGGTCTATATAGTGAGTTCCAGGCCATCTGGGGCCACAGGGAGACCGCCTCTGTCTCAAAAAAGACCACTTCAAAAAAGAAAAAAAAAATAAAACCTGCTATTCTTCTGGTTATTATTCCTATTCTCCCCCCCCCCCTTTTTTTTTTGGTCTTTTTGAGACAGGGTCTCCCTGTAGCCCCAGCTGGCCTAGAAGTTACTATGTAGACCAGGCTCGCCTTGAACTCACAGAGATCCACCTGCCTCTGCCTCCTAAATGCTGGGAGTACAAGTGTGCATCACCACACCCATCCTTTATTATGTGCCAAGCCCTGTCCTTTATGTACATTATTTCTCTGAAACTTCATCTAGAACTTTGTTGAGAATAAAAGTTAAAGAATGGCACACCTATAATTCTGGCATTCAGGAGGCTGAGACTGGAGGATCAACAGTTCAAGATCAGCCTGGGCTACACAGCCCGACTCTATCTTATCTTGGTAAAATAAAATAATAAAACAAAAGCTATACCAACACTGTATCTTCTAATGGGAAACTGAGAAAGAGATCTCATGTAGGGCCTGCCTCAGAGTAGCACCACCTGTTATCCTACCGGCCCCACCTCCGGGCCCTGTGAACCCCACTCCCACCCCCACGCCCACCTCCTCCCCTCCGGAGCACTGCCTGCCTCCTGGTAAGGAACACTTAAAAGCGCCTCTGGCCTAGGGCCCTACCTCCCTTCCCTTAGGTCCCACCCACAGCACCTCCTGGGCCCCGTCTCCCTTAACTGTGGGCCCTGTCCCCAGCACCCCCCATCTAGGGCCCCCCACACCGTCCCTCCCCCACCTTCTCGCCCC